AAAGAAACGAGGAACTTCGAATCCACCTACGTCGGGAAGGCCCTCAGGTCACCAGTGCTTTGAGGAATGTATCTGGCCAGGAAGTGAGGAACATGAAACAGGTCGTTTTCCTTTTTTGTTTCTTGTTGTGAGGTCCCTGTAGCGCCCTGCCAGCCAGGCAGGGCGGATTCCACCCTTCATTGAGTTCCAGACAAGTACTGTAGCATCCTGTATCGGACCGCAATCACAGCATAAGGGATGCTTGCTTGTTTTTTTTTTTGTTTCTCTGCTGTTCGTGGATAGACGAGTGCGCCGAAGTTACGCCAAAGAAAAAAGAAAAAAGAAAAAACAGCCAAATAGCCCGAAAAAGAAAATTGGCGCTGTCCACCCACAAAAAAAGCGGGCGCGGTCGCCCCAACTCCAAGCACAAGGGCGACCGCCGTAGCGACCGGTCGGTCTTATGACAACGACCGCACCCTTGTGCTGCAGATTGCAGCCCCCTCTACGCCGCTCTAAGCCCCTAGACAGGTCGTCGACATTTCCCGATCGGGAAATCCGCTTCTGCAAAAAATGCAACCGGGTATAGCGCAGCCTCCTGGCTGCGAAATGAGCCATTCACAGTTTTTTTTTTTTTTTTTTTTCCTTTTTTTTTTTTAAGGTTTGAGGAGGTGTCGGGGGATATGACTCAGAGAGGATGTCCGACAGGGGGCTTCCCACGACGGGGATTGCAAACTGTTCACACTTAGACGTGCATGGCTTAGTCTTTGAGACAAGCATATGACTAAGAGATCAATATTTTAAATATTTTTGGATGGTGACGCCAGCCTTTTCTGTTCAGTTCGTTGAGCCCCGAAAAGGATGTGGAGCCTTTGGGCATCGCCACACCACTCTCCAAATGTGCGAAATGAGAATGACCCTCCGGCTAGAACATGGCCACACATGCACCCGCCACTGTTTTGTCTTTTTCACGTTTGGAGAGTGGTGTGGCGACGCCCTTCTCTGTCCGGTGTGTCAAGGCCCCAAAAGGATGTGGAGCTTCAACGGTGGTGTCAGAGCGAAATAGGGGCTGGGTCCACTACTCGTAAAATGTGACAAAATGAGAATGAATCTTCCGCTAGAACATGGGAAGATGCACCGCCATATTTTTTGTCTTTCGTGCACGTGGTGAGTAGTAGAGCCAGGCCCATTGCTGGGAAAAGTATTGGGGTACTAATAGGCCAGCCAGAAATGCCAGAAATTTAGGAGATAAGAGAGCTCATACCACTTGGTTGGGAGGACAGTCAATTATTGGGC